AGACCTGCGGGCTGTTTTCGTTTATTTATTTATTTCTGAGAGATTTCAGCTTCATTTTAGTTATATTAAAGAAAAGGGAGAGAAGGCTTGCAGCTTTGAAACCCCCTTTTAGCACTTAGAGGGCTGCCGTATCACCGTACGACACACTCTGTAAGGAAGGAAACTCGGAACACACGGAAAGAACTCAAGCCATCCTGCCCAGGGGTGTCCCTTTTTTTTTTTTGTTTCTTTCCCCCAAGACTTTATTGAGGTCTAATTTATACCCAGTGCAGCGCACACGCTTCAGCTCACAGCGTGGTGACTTTTCACTTACGTATCTGCTGGGTGACTGCCACCAGATCGGGGACGTGGAGTCACCCAGAGGGCTCACCGGTGCCCAGGTCCAGGCAAGACCTCCTGTCCCCTGGGCAACCACTGCCAAACAGAGAGCAGGGGTTGCCTGTTCTTGAGCTTCAGGTAAGTGGATCTTGAAGTCTGTACCGTTTCACATCTGTCTGGCTTCTCTCATTCAACAACAATGTTTTGGGGCTACATCCTTACGATGCTGTTTTTTATTGCCCAGCAGTATCCCATTGTGTGTGTCTACCAGTTGGCCTGTCCATTTTCCTACTTCATTACTTTTAAGGCTGTTTGGTTTGCTCAAGTTGCTGGACCAATTTATTAACAGTAACATACAAGAGCTAGGTAAAAGTTCCTCATGTTTTTCATGTTGCCATACTGGGTTTCCTGTTTTAACACAATTGCTATACAATTCTGTTAAATACCCTTAAACAACGCGGGCATTAGGGACACTGACATCCCCCACAGTTGAAAATCTGAACGTGACCTTTAACTCCTCCAAAACTTAGCTACTAATAGCCTACTGTTGATCAGAGGGCTCACTGATAATATAAGTCAATGAACACATATTTTGTATGTTATATGTATTAGATACTGTGTTCTTACAATAAAGTAAGTTTAGAGAAAAAAATGTCACAAAAATCATAAGGGCTGGGCGAAGTGATGCACACCTGTACTCCCAGCTACTCTGGAGGCTGAGGAGGGAGGATCGCTTGAGCCCAGGAGTTGGAGGCTGCAGTGAGCTATGATCATATCACTGCACTCCAGCCTGGGTGACAGAGCAAGACCCTGTCTCTAAAAAGAAAAAAAAAAAAACATAAGGAAGGGAAAATTTATTTACTATTCATTAAGTGGAAGTGGATTATGGTAAAGGTTTAACTCCTCCTTGTCTTCACGTTGAGTAGGCTGAGGCAGAGGAGGAGGAGGCGGGCCTGGTCTTGCAGTCTTAGGGGTGGCAGGGGTGGCAGAGGTGGAGAAGTGGAAGGGGAGGCAGAAGAGGCAGGCATACGAGGCCTAACTTGTATTGGAAAAAGAAATCTGCATATATATAAGTGGACCCTCACAGTCCAAGCCTGTATTGTTCAAGGGTCAATTGTATTTGGACACTACATACACACAAGGAACATTTCTGTTTGTTCAGACACACTAGATCCTGGTCCATCTATTTGCACTGCCCAGTGAGTCTCCATGCCAAGAATCAGGGTCACTGAAATGGAGCAAGAAGACCACACAGTGTGGGGCCCCGAAAGGGGTGTGGAGTGCGTTACGGGCTTAATTAGCTTCTAAAGAACTGGCCTCTTTGGAAGCCACAGTTGAGAAGCAAACCAAATGGGTTTCTTTAATAGCTGCATGTAATCTGATTTTCATAGTTATTCTCCAGATGTAAAATGTATGCAGCGCCACGGCACGGACTGCATGTGGGCAGCATACTAACAAGGGCAAGGCTGAGCCGACGGAGACAGGAGCTAGGTTCCTACTTCTGTATCTCATTAAATTCTCTCTTTTTATTGAAAAGCGGCACTTCCCAACCTTCAAGCTAATACTTATGTTTGCTGCTCTGCAAAGCAATTTGGAAAGTAGTTTTAGGTAGGCTACCCCAGAGAGACAGCTGGCTCTGAAGTTCCTCAGGAGCCAGGCCAGGAGAAAGGGGGAGGTTTTGCAGTTTATGTCGTTGTCCTTTCCCTTACCTTGAAAAAAAAATACAAATGAATCCACAGCTATCAAGTTCTTTTTTTTTTTTTTTTTAATTTAAAGAGGTTTATTCTGAGCCAATATGAGTGACCTTGGGCTGGGAATATATAAACCCAAGAAGTTTTGAGTAAGTGGTCCTGAGTCAGACAGATTACAGTTTGGTTTTATACATTTCAGGGAAACAGGAATTGTAGGTAAAATCATAAATCGACACATGCAAGGTACCTTGGGTAGGTTCTTGAATGTCATCTGCAGCACGTATGAGACAAAAACCCATTGTACCTGACACAATAATTTTCAAAGAATGTTCCAACCTGCTATACATTTAATAAGAAAACATCCTATTCTCTGGACAAAGAGGTGCAAGGAAAAGTGAGAAAACGAACGCAGTGCTTTTAGTCTGAGACTGCAAAAGCCATCACCCACCCTGGAAAAGGGAACCATTATGAACTTTACCAAGAAGTTGCTGCTTTACATAGGATTTCTTAGTCATAATTACCACGCTTGCATTTAAAATATGATTCTATTTTTATAAAAATTAAGTCTACAAAATTCTAGGAACTCTGCTGTCACGTAAAGGCCAAGCCAGTTCCTCTTACAACTAAGGATCACTTGGTTGTAGCTCGCCCTCCAGGCAATACGTGGGTCACTGTCAGGCCTTCGGGATCTTCTAGAGAAATTCTTTCGTGCCTGTAATGGCCTTTTATATTTTTTTTCTCCCCATAAAGGATTCCGACGAACACCAGGGGAAAAGGCGGGCCAGGTGAGGTATGGGGAAGGGGTGCGGAGCTTCCATGCCCTCCCCAGGCTTCAGCTCCCCGGAAGTGCTCTGAGCCCTGTCCTCGTGGGCCCTTTCTGGAGACTTCCTTGGGTAGGCATGACCGAAGCAGGGACAACTGTGCAGAAACGAGATTGGACAGAAAGGGTTTGATCTCATCCTATTAGACTGAGGGGGACACCCGGCGAGGTCCGGCGAGGCCTGTCTGGGCAGCATTCCTTCCTCCGGGGCATGGGGCAGCGCCCCTGCTGAAATGGGGTCTTATGATCAGACAAGGTGGGTCAGGGAATTTATGGCCAGCTCCAGGACAGAAAGGCGGGCCAGATTAGAGTCTATCTTCAGTGTCTACGCCCCCCCCCAAATGGGGGGGAAGGCGCAGGTGAAAGGAGGGCAGGAGGAGGGCAGAGACAGGTGCTGTCTCCTGGGGCCCGAAGTGCCCGGCGCTACAGCAATGGACCGCCTTTCCCCGTTACCCCGACGCCGTTCCCAAGCTGCTTCGGTAGCCGAGGACAGAAGGCCAAATACTTTTAACAAAAGACACGCTTATTGTTTTAGCCACGTAGCAAATCACAGGGTTATGGGAGCTGTGAGGCAGGAACAGTGGATGAAAACCAGCGTCTATATCATGACATCACGAGGGCCTTTGTGGATGATCAGGTTACGATGAAGTCATTAGAGTGGGTGCTAGTCCCACACGACTGTGTCCCTATAAACACTGGGACGCGCAGAGAGAGGCCACGGGAAGGGCAGGCAGAGAGAGATCAGGGCGCTGCTTCCACAAGCCGCCAGCACGCCACCAGGCGCCCGGAGAGGACACCAGGCAGGTGTGGGCCGGTGGCCTCCCAGCTGTGAGAACACATTTCTGTGGTCCTGAGCCCCCCAGTTTGTGGCACTGTGTTCTGGTGAGCCTGGCACTGTGGCAGCGTTCTCTCCCTCTGCCTCCTGCCCGGACAGTCTTCGCTTCCTTTACTGAACGAAGGTCTCACGTCCCTTCCTGGACAGCCTCTCTGCCCCGGGCTGCTCCCCCTCCCTCCAGGAGGCTGCTGTGTGCCCGGGCGTCCCTTGGCGCCGTACCTGTTCTCCCTGACTACAAACCCCTGCAGGGCACCCCTGGCTGGAGGCCTGGCCCGGCACCCACTCGGCCAACATAAATGTCCCTTCCACTGGACGGAAGTTTACAGTGTGAGGCCCTGAGCTGTCGCAAGGGAGATGGGAAAATATCCCTACACACACTCGGACCTGAACTCAGCGCTCCTGCCCAGGCGCCGCCCTCTGCTAGCCCCTGCGTCTGGGGCATGACCCCACAACCACCCTGACGCCCAGCAGGACACCAGCCTTGACTCCTGCTGATTCTTCAGGTCTGGGGCCGCTAGCCATGGCCTCTTCAGGGATCTGCTCCCCTCTCAGCCATGGGTCTCCGCTCCCTGCTGTGTGCACACACGTCAGCCAGAGGAACCCGCAGAACCCACACTCCACACGTCAGGCCACGCTCAAAGCCCTGCGTGACCCCTCAGGATGAAGCCCGGGCTCCTCCGTCTCCTCGGCTTCCAACTCCTGCAGAGTCCGCCCTCCCCCCTTCTCCCTCCCCGGGGACCCATGCAGCCCGGGTCCTGCTCTTCGCTGACCCACTGTATGTACCTGCCCTAGCCGTGCCCAGGGCTCCCCGTCACCGCTTCCGCAAACACCCCCCAGTCCTCCTTGGAGGAGCTCAGGTGTGGACCGAGGGCCCCTGTCCCCCAGCACCACCCTGTCCCCAAGCTTCTGACAGGTTGGCACGGTTCCTTGTTCACCAGGGTTTCACTCAGCCCCAGGTTGGGCTCTTGTTAGAACCTCGACAACTGAAGTTCGCATCTGTGTGGTTCTGTGATTCTGGTCGCCTCCAGGACACGCGGAGGCCACAGAGGGTGGCTGGGGAGCACCGTGCGCACAGCCCGGGGAAGCCCAGGGCGCAGACGTGGTGGGAAAGGCCCAGGCTGAGCCCTGGGTGTCGGCCCGCGCCCCGGTTCTTGGAGAGTCAGCAGCCGGCGCAGCGCGGGGCCGGCACGGGCGGCGGGGCCACTGGGGCGCGCAGACCGGCTGTCAGGCCGCCCCAGGGCCGCGCTCCAGGCCGGGCGGGCGCGGGGCGGGGCCGGCGGCGGGGCGCGCCCTCGGCCACTCCCGGGGCGGCGGCGGCTCCGGGCGCTCTCCCACACGCGCGGCCCATGTCCTCCGCGCCGCGGCCCGCCAGGATGAAGAAGGACGAGTCGCTCCTGGGCAGGCTGGGCGGCACGCTGGCGAGGAAGAAGAAGGCCAGGGAGGGTGAGTGCGCCCCGCGCAGGCGCGCGCCCGGCGCCGTGCCGGACCCACGCGGGCGCCCGCCGCCGGCGGGACCAGCGCCGGCTCCGCGGCGCGACCTTGGGGACGGCCCGTCCTGCCCCCAGGCTCCAGCGGGGAGCCAGCCGCGCCGCCCGGGCCGCGTCTGGGGCTGGGCGGCGTCTGTCCCTCGCGCGCCGCCGGCTCCTGGCGGCCCGGGCCCAGCAGACTCCTGGTTCCCGCGGCCACCCTCGCGCAGTCGCCATTTATTTAGCGCCGTGCGGGGCCAGGGACAGCCACCCCCGCCTCTCTGCGAGCTGGCACGCCGCCGGGCGGAGGGCGGCCGGGACACCGCTGTGTCGCTGCGTGCGTCCGCAGGCACGTGGGGCGGGCAGGCGAGGAGGGGGCCGGGACATGCGGCCAGAGGCCGGGGAGCCCTGCGAGCAAGGCCTGCGGAGATCCCCCGGTTTTTTTTTCACCCCATGTGCTCACGAAAATATTTCTGAAAAACTCCCTACCTCCTGGTACATTTTAAGTTTTTTAGAGTTGCAAGGGGCACCGTGGAGTCTTTAAGCCTACAGCTTTCCCAGGGCCTCCCGGGAGCTGCTTCCTGAGTTCTCCCTTTGTTTGGGCCTGAGGTTCTTCCCCTGGGGCATTGCCTTATTACGAGATCTCAGAGGGGCAGAGGCATGGGGGTGCCGCTGTGAAAAGGCAGAGAGGAGGCAGGAAGCCCAGGGGCTGGCCCCGGGCAGGTCACTGGGAAAGAGCCCTCCAGCTGGGGGTATGTGGAGTGTTTTCTTTAAATTACCTGGGCCTGACTTGTCCCCCAGGACTCTTCCTGTGCCTCCAGCAATGAGTGTGTACCCCTGGGACACAGGTAGCTCCACTGTGTCTTCCTGGGGACGTGTGTGCCCGTGGGACACCGGTGACAGATGTACCCCCAGGGGCTGTGTGTGTGCGCCCCACCCCGGGGATTTGTGCGGGTGTAGGGAATGCCTGTCCTCCGGGGCATTGCCCCCAGGCAGCGTGTGCCCCAGGGATGCCTGTCGCCCCAGCACTACCCAGCTCCCCGGGCAGCCCCGTCACCTCCAGTAGGTCCCCTGGAGTGTTTCCAAGCAAATTGGACACTGCTCTCCCAGGCCTTGCCCTGAGGACCCGCCCTGGCTTGTGTTAATCTCTGTTTGTCAGGTCTCCTGAATGAGATGATAAGTGGCTGTCACCCTGCTCTCTGCCAGGGCCACTGCCTCTCTGATGTGCCTCCTCCCCTGCAGTCAGCAGTGCCCTCACCAGAAATCTTTTCAGTTCCTCTTTCCGCCTTATAATTATAGACGCCCCCCTCCCAACTCCTTCCCCAGTCTGCTTCTGGGGCCTGGCGCTTTCAGGGAACGGGCAGTCGTGATGAATAAACAGATAGTACCGTGGTGACAGGTGCGGTGGCGGAAATGCAGCGGGGCAGTCAGAGTGCCCAGGGAAGGTCTCTGGGGACCTGATGTTTGGGTTGAGACCAGAAGGAACCAGAGAAAAGTCTTCCGCAGAACAGCAGACGTGGAATGTTCTGGACTGTCACAGCTGTTTACAGGTGGTATTTGTGCTCTGGGAGTACGAAGAACACACGCCGAAAGTCATGGGCTGGTCCTGAGTTTGCCAGTGCAGTGCCTTGCATCCTGCTCTCATGAGTTAATGTGTGTCTAGAAAACAGAGGGCCAGTCTGGTTCAATTTAAGCACGCCAGGAACCCCGGTGGCCCAGAGCCCTGCGATGAGAGGAGTAGACATGGAAGCAGGAGAAGCGAGGTGTTGCCGGCGTTGCTGATGTTGCTTCCACGGGAGAGTTAGCCGAGTGCCCCCGCCCTGGTTCTCAAGGTTGGGGTGCCTGGCCACCCTAGGGGTCCCCCATACAAACAAACAGAAAGCCACCAACCCTCATTGGACCCAGACACAGAACTCGAGGGAGGGGTTGGCCTGGGAAGGGCTTAGTGGCTTGTCTGTGGTCTTCTGGGAAGTGGAGGCGTCAGGAAAACTGGATAACGAGGTCTTGAATAATCGAGACCTGCCAGTATCTCTCTGCAGGCCTGTTGCCTTGGCAACTCGCACTCCGGGCATCCTGGCGGGAGCAGCTCCGGGCCCTGACTCACATGCCTGCAGGGAGTGTCCAGGCGGAGGCCCTGCCCCACCGCAGTGGCAGCTGCGTTTCCTCCTTTGTTAGAAAGTTGCGGGCGGAGTCAGGACAGTGGATGAGACTCTGACATTTTCCTGAGCCCAGGCCCTGTGAGGGGGTGGGGGGCGTGCTGGGAAGCCTGTGGGGGTTCAACCTCATCACCCGCCTGGCAGAGATCCTCTGGGCGCGACAAGACACGGGGGGACATTGGGGTAACCGTCCCGTCCCATTCTGGGGGAGGCGGCGTTAGGAGATGTGGGTGCTGAGGTTTGGAGGAACAAATGCAGGAAGTGTCCGCAAGTGAGCTTGACAGCAGCCGAGATTAAGGCTCGCCCTCTATGGGCGGCAACGCCAGGAGTGTCACGTGGGGGCCGGCTCAGAAGAGGGAACAATGACTAATGTGGGCATTGGGAGAGTGGACAGGAACCCTTCAGGCCCCAGAGCTCCCACAGGGGTCCGGGGACTGCAGAGGACTCTGCTAGGAACTCGGGCTCTACTTTGCTGGGGCTCGGAAGAGCTGGTGTGGAGGAGGGAAGACCCCTCCAGGCCGGGTCCCCCTGGCAACCCCAGGATGAGGGACCCCATCAGTCCAGCGGGCAAGCAGGAGGGCCGGGCACCTGGGCCGGGCCACTGTGAACGTCCTCAGAGGCGCGGCCAGCTCGGGGCCAGGGAGGCCCTGACAGAAGGGCTGGGTAGCGTTGCGGCCACCATTGGCCGTGGAGGCCGGCTCTGCGCTGTGCCCAGGCGCGGGCATCAGGCGCCGCTGGCCAGCGACCGGGTCAGGATGTCTCAGCGAGCCGAGACCAGCGGAGCCAGGGCAGCCACGCCCGGGGTCCTGTCCCTCTTTCTCCTCTGGGGAAGACATTAAAGAAGTTCCCATTCCCTGATGGCCTTAAACATATGTACATATTAAACAATTATTTAGAGCAGTTTTAGGGGTTGCGTCTGTCCCTTCTCCTAGCCCTCCACTGCCTGTCATCGGTACCCCCAGGCGTGTGGTCCCTTTGTTACAGTCGTGAACCGGCACTGAGACACCATCTCCCCGAGACCGCGGTTAGGGGTCGCGCTTGGTGTTGTCTGGACAAACGTATAATCTGCTACCGCAGTACCGTATGGAGTAGTTTCACTGCCCTAAAAATCCCCTACACTCTGCCCATTCATCCCTCCACTTCCCCAGACCCTGGGCAACCCCTGGTCTTTTGTTTTGTTTTACTGTCTTCATGGTTTGTCTTTTCTAGGCTGTCATATACTTGGAGTCATAGCGTGTAGCCTGTTCAGATTAGCTTCTTTCACTCAGTAATGTTCTCACGGTTTCTCCGTGTACTTCCTGGCTGACAGCGCGTTTGTTTCAGCGCTGCACGGTGGTCCGGTGTCTGGGCGTGCTGCTGTTCGTGTGTCCTCTCACCTGCCGAGGGCCGTCTTGTTGCTTCCAAGTCTGGGCAGTTGTGAATGAAGCTGCTGTGAATATCCGTGTGCCGGTTTTTGTGTGGACATACGTTTCAGGTCATCTGGGTTCACACTCAGTAGCTCAGTTGCTGGATCTTACAGGAAGAGTATGTTTAGTTCTGTAAGAAACCCCCAAAGTGTCTTCCAAGTGGCTGGACCGTTTTGCCCTCCCACCTGCAGTGGGTGGGAGTTCCGGCTGCTCCACGACCCCGCCGGCACTTGGTGTTGTCAGCGTTCTGGGGTTTGGCCGTTGTGTTAATAGTAGGCGTGTGTGTGTGGTGCTATCTCATTGTTTCAGCTGGCATTTGCCTGGTGACATGGAGCATCTTTTCATGTGCTTGTTGCCACCTGTGTGTCTTCTTTGCTCAGGTGTCAGTGTGTTTAGCTCATTTTTAAATCAGGTTGTTTGTTTCCTTATTGTTGAGCTGTAAGAGTTCTTTGTATGTTTTGGATACAAGTCCTGCATCAGATGGGAGTTCTGCAGATACTTTCTCCCAGGCTGTGGCTTGTCGTCCTCTCTTGACCCCGATGCCTTTTAAGCATCTGATGTAGAAATAGTGATAAACGGCAAGATATTGAGACGTCATGAACTAGATGTCAAGAAACCATTAGGTGACTGTGACGTGGAACTGAAGGTTGAAAGTATTTTATTCGTGACTATAAATAGCTTCCAGGAGATAAATCTCAGAGTCCTAAACCACCAACCTTGAGTTCCCTTCTGATAATCTGTCTTTTATACGGGGCCATCGGCAGTGTAGACGCTGAGTTGCCCCAAACACCACGACATACATACACACGGCTGTGGGATTAGATCACCGGGAGACACACGCCATTTAATTTCGCCGCACACGGTAGCAATTTCCCTACATGTTACAGTCGAGGAAGCAGCCTTACCTAGTAGCCGCTTCTCAGTAATTTGAGCCGGCTGTTCTCAACTGGGGTGATTGGGACCACTGGGGGACCTCTGCAGTGTCTGGGACTCTTGTGGTTGACACGACTGGGGTTGGGCGCTCCTGGCGTCAGTGGGACGGAGCCCCAGGAGGCCGGTCACCTCCTGCGGGGCCCGCGCCAGTGATGCGCCTGGCCCCAGTGTCGGACGGCAGCGCTGAGGCGGAGAAACCCCCGTTTCTCAGGCGCCTTAAGCACTGCAAGAGCAGGTTAGTAGCCAGGTGGCAGGGGAGCCAGTGCCACTGAGGGGTCCAACTGCCAGAGAGTCTGGGGACGCCCCCTGAGCCCCACCGGGGACGCCTGGGCCTGGCGCCCGTGTATGGGGCTCTCAACTGAGTCCTTGTGCGGGAGGAGCCGCCAGGCCCCTGTGTGGCCGGGCCCGCGGGATCCAGGCAGGTGTGGTGCGCGGTCACCTGGGGAGTGGGGTCCCTGGGGTGCATATTCCCAGAGGTGGGG